TATCTCGGTATTCTTTACTTACCGTTGACTAATAATTACAAATTCAACAAAAATATCCGTTATTAAATTCGAAACAATCAAGGTCCAAATATACACGTTTATTAAATTAAAGTTATTCAAAACGTCTATTTGTAACTTGGTCAGGCCGGGAGCCTGACATGACTAAAAACCGGGTGACACACAACTCAAACTGTGGGAACGAAATCTGCATATTTACTATTTTTTACATGGATTTAGTTGTAATTCACCTGTGTAATTGTAAATTATGTATGTATTAATATTATGGATATAATAAGACTACTCATATACTCATGAAATTAAAACTCATATAAAATACGATGTCATTATGTCCCCACAGGTTTGAAAAGGTCATCTCCCGGTGGTCTCTTTTATATGCTTCCCGACCCGGTGACTCCACTCCACTCCATTATAACGGAGTATTTAAATTCAATATTCAGTGTTTTGTTAGTTTACATCCATTTTAATACGAACTATTAAACTTATACGAAATTCTTTTTGCCTGTCCGATAGTTGTCCGAGAGGAATCCAAAAGTAAATAAAACAATCGTCCAGAAGAGATTTGTCTTCTCAAGTCTAAAGAATAGTGTCCTCTTTATCCCCAAATAAAGTCACACAATACTTTATTCAATAACCGGAAAAGAATAGTTGAAATCTAAACTATCTTGAAAAAAGTTGAAATTGACTGACTTAATCAAACTGTTCCCACCCGAAGAATTGGACATCTTCCGGAGTCATTTCTTATGATCACATTTTTCCACAGGCCAACAACAGCTTCAAAAAACTATTTCCCTCAAAGAAAAAAACAAACATGCCCTGTTGTCGCAAGAAAAAAAGTGCAGAAGGAAACATCCATTGAAACTCAGTGTGCTGCTCTGTGATGCTAGTTCAAGCCAGATACTTGGCATCTTATCTTAGGTGCAAGCCCATCAATGTTTGGGGTCAGGCTCTGAGCTGAGGAAACCCTCAGGATGGAGTGAAGGTGTGCGTGCAATATACCGGCGGGCCAGATCTAATAGTAATTAGAAAGCATCCTGCGGGCCGAAATTAAATCCACCAAGGGCATGATTTGGCCCCCGGGCCTTGAGTTTGACACATGTGCTCTAAAGTGTCTTTGAGTTTTCAGAAAAGCGCTCTATAAATAAAATGTATTACTGTTTTATTTTTGATGTATGTATGTTTATTTTTGCACCAAAAACACTAAGACATAGATATTCCTCATATGTGTTAACTTACTTGGCAATAAAACTGATTCTGATATTTATTTTCTCTTTCATTTATTGGCGTTTCATTTGAGTTCAAGCTAATCCAAACATAACGGAAAGTTATGAGGTTAAATTACATTTTGATACTAAGATCAGGTTACTGATTCCATTTTTTCCAGATAACTAGCAAATGTATTTCAGATACAATTTTAAAGTTACCCTCACAACACTGATGCTGATACACCCTCTTGTACAGTAGGTGGCGGTATGCACCTAGATGCTGTTTGCCATGTTCCAAAAAGAAGACGAAGAAAAGTAGCTCTACGTCATCACTGGGCGTCCACAACATCACTGTTAGGTCTCCACATTTCACACGTGAGTTAAACTAAAATGAATTTGCCATCCATAAACTAAGTTTGTTTCGATACACATTTTGAACAAAGTGTGCTTAATGTTTTCAACACATCGAGCTGGCGTGTGCCTCCGGAAGTTGGCACAGAATCATTCTCAGCTACAGCCTCGTCTTTAACAAGCCACACTCCTATTGAAGAATATGTTAAAATAACTTGCTAGCACGTATCGGCAAGACTTATGGCGTTTCTGAATCATTGGTAGACAGTAGTTAATTCGGCGTATATCTGTTACTCAAATTCCTTGTGGACCTTCTTAGCACTGTACATTTATATGCCATTCTTTGCACACCTAATGTGAATTATATCCTACTTTTAAATTGTAGACTATTAGCTGTAATTTGGTCCTTCAAGTGTCACGGTCCACTTTTACATTTTATATTTTACTTTTTAGTTTAGTTCTATTTTTTTATTTGAGATGTTTATATTTTATGTTTGGTTATTTTCTATTCTTTTTTATTTCAAATGATGTGCAATGCCTTTGTTTAAACCATAGACTGTATACGTTTAAACAAGCTGCTATAATGACAATTCTAAATAATTAAGATTTTACTGGCAGCATAGTTTCAATTATATTCATTTAAAGTTGTGTCCTGTTTGTTTATTTCATTTCCTATTAAAACACACAGTCAACCAACAATTTAAAATATGAAACTGTAGTGTTGACCTTCAAATCCTAATAATTCTTTCACGTTTTCCTTCTCAGTTTCTGCCAGAACACCAAGACATTTTCCTTGCAACCTCCATGGTGTAAGGTCCAAGCTATGTTGGCGAACACAGAGGACAGGATGTCACAGAAAGGGGGGGTCACAAAGAGGAGACACACAGGTGAAGATGAAGAAGGAGGAGAGAAGAAGAGGAGGGGAGGTGCGAAAGGAGAACAGGGAGACGGCGGCAGGAAGCTTCTAGACGCCCTGAGTGTGGGCTACTTCCGCCGAGTCGGGGAAAGACTCGGAGAAGGCTTTGCAGACAGCGAGGAGAGAGGTAAGAGATTATGATTCAGCAGTTCTGATCAAGCAGAGGACTGGGAGAAAAATCCCCTGCCAATGTGTGTGGTGGAAGTTGACATCACTGTTCAAACAGGAATGATTATAATATTCAGATGAAACAAGTAGGAGATGAAGCAATAAAGCAAAGCAAGTTATCAGGTCACTTTGGAGTGAGTTGCTCTTTGTGCAAAAGTGCCTAATATATGTGTATATTATCGTGTCAAAAAAAGAACAGACTCGAACAATGTTGCTACTTTTAAAAAAAAACCTTTAATACATGATTACTTTACTATATTTGAATATCTAAAGGATATTTAAAAGATATAGGGGATGCATTATAAATATGTTGATTAACCTTTTATTTTTACTTTAACAATTATTTTAGACAGGTTAAATCTGAAAAGTCATTTTCATACCATCCCATGCCTAATGAAAATGTGTTTTTTGTGTATTTAACCTTTTATTTATGCATGGCGCCTTTATGATTATGTTATTCAATATTTAACACATAAAGGATATACAAAATAATTAGGGATGCTCCGATGGATCGGCCGATATTCACTCTCTGCCGATCGGTCGGTGCTCTCTATAAATGCCGATCGGGAGAGCCGATCACATGACGTAAAATACATGACACTTTTCTCTGTGTGCGGCAAAACAAGCTCGCCAAAATGTCTTCACCGGTCTGGCAGTATTTTAAGGTGTCCGAAAAAGACTATAAAATAGCGGTATGCAACGTGTGTGAAGCAGAAATCCTGCAGCTCCGCCCGCTGAGAGGTACCGGTGAGCGGAGCGAAGCACACAAGAGTTAGACCTAACACACTTAGCTATTTCGTCTGGAACAAGCTAAACTCGGTATCGGCCGATACTGATTCCGGCGATCGGAGCATCCCTACAAAAAATACACGTTTGTCCAATCTGTGTTGCAATACAAAACTGAGTTTCTAAAGCATTTAAATAATTTAAAGTGTATTTATCATGATAGTATGGTCAATAACAATTATGTATAATAACATATAATCAAATAAAGTAACAGACTATCAGAGTGCACTCTTGAATAATCTGCTGTGGCCAATTCAGTAAATGTAGAGTTAACATAGATCACCAATCGAACGGTTGAAGAATTGTTCATATTTCAGTCAAACAACAACTTCTAAAGCTCCATCATTTGTGCGAACTCATGTTTTGTTATTTATTTCTCCTACAGAGATGTTTGTGGAGAACGTGCTCACAGAGGTGAAAGGGAAAGCTGCTGTGGTGGCGATGGACCGTACAGGAAGCTTCACCCTGCAGCGGCTGCTCCCGCTCTGCAAGCCCGACCAGGTGGCCGAGGTGCTGGCCGAACTGGGCGGAGAGTCCGGATCGGAGCTAAAGGCGGTGTCATGTGACCAGTGTGGCGGCCACGTGGTGGAGAGTGCAGTCCGACAGATATCCAGTAAGAGCTGTCATTTCCGATCTGTAGTGGAACAAAGCTTTGTAGCCACCAGGAAACATGGTACAAGTTGAGATGAAGAAACACAGCTCCACGTGTCTCCTGATGACCCGGGCTCAGTTTAACTGTGTAGTAGACGGACAGGAAGCCAGTGTAAAGTTTTGAAGTGATGCAATCCACTTTCTTAGTGTTAGTGAGGACTCAAGCACCATCGTTCTCTAACTTATGAACTCTCAGGTCTTCTGCTACTGGCCTTGTAATCATGGCTAAAGTTAAAACAAGGTCTGTATACTACCTGGGAAAGGAGGGGTGGTTAGTATTGTCTTTTTTATTTGATCAATTTTGTATCAGCTTCAGTGTTTCCCCTAGGATGGAGTCATAGCAGCGGTGCGAAGGCACGTGGGCCCAGCACAATGTGAGCGCGGAGCACGTGGAATTTTTTAGAAAAATAAAGTTTACTACACGTTAGGAAACAAATTTGGTATCTGACATATGCAAATTTGTTCGACGATATACTGGTTAAGATTTATTATTCTAAATGACCGGGTCGTATCAAAGTTACATATAAGTAATTTCAACAACAGGACAAACAAATAAAGTAAGGAATAATTTTGTGTGTCAGTTGGTTTGTTAAATTTTATACTTTGACATCACAACTGAAAGTTTAGGATTATTAAGAAAGTAAAGGAAGAGTCAAAGCGGTCTTGTGGTTCTGTAAAAGGAACGTTGGAGGTACCACTTTCCAGGTTCGGTACAACCGGCTTGTGTCTCTGTCCTACAGTGTCTTTCCCCCAGTGTTTCTCCTCTGTGTGTCATTTCTACTTCTTCCTCTCTCTTCTTCTCCTCCCCTCCACGCTTTTCCCTCTTGTCCCTCTGCCGCCGTCCTTCGAAGATCTTGCGGGACTCACACCGATGAAGGCGGCTCGCCCCTTTCTGAGCCTCTTTTCCGAAACGTCTGTCGCTCCCTCTCCATTCTCTAATACTAAGTCGTCAAGATAAGTTCGTCTCCGTGACCCCTCTTTTTAGGGGACGGACACACAAACCTTTCAAACTGTAGTGACAAGTTTGTTCTTACTAAATTATAAAGTCTACTTTGTTCATCCTCTACTTCGTTTATTTCGTTTCGTAATGAGTCAGTGAAACCTCACTCAACGGAAGAAACCGTTTTCCGGATTATATACACGATATAATTAGCACAGTTTTTTTCTTGTCTGAGCTTGTTACAACGATGAAAATTTTTTTTTTGGAAATTTATGTCTAATGAAATGATATAAACTTATTAGATTCTATAAATTTTCTATATCCTCTACGTAATTTTATACAACTAATTGGAAAAATAAAATGAAATGTTAATAAAATTGTCGCAATTTTAGACTTTAGTAAAAGTATGGTAGGGTACGGAATTACTTTTCACAAAAAACACATTAAATTGGAAAATAAATACGTACCGCGGAATACTAATACAATAAGTTATAATATTGTGATTTCCTATATGTTTTATTAATCCCTACGGAGGCTACCTGCGGCTATAGTGAGAGACGGCTAGCAGCCACGAGAGATATTTACCGGCTAGCCTCTTCTGGCTAGTTGTAACTGCATTATGTACTGTGAAAAGAGAACACGCGTTTTGTTTCGAGCGGTTTACAGAAAGTGGCCAAGACGTCATAAAATTCCCAGGCTTTTTCTGATATTTTATCGCCATACGTTCAACAACTTCGTCTTTCAGGACGGTCGAGGCGGGCGACTCTCCCATGGCCACTCGCTCGCTTCGTTGTGTTCTCAATCTGCTCTGTGTGAATCGATAAAGCAGACCTTGGTTCGAACTTTTGAGCCATTGCCGGCTATGACTAAGGCCGCTAGCCTCGTAGGGATGTTTTTTATGTGCAAACAGGTTAGACACAACGTTATGTTTTGACTCAAAGATTTCGTAAATTTATTAAATTTCACATAAATAGTACTATCATACCAGTTATTGTTAATACATATTATTGTATATTAGTTTATTTCATTGTCTGATAGTCTCACGTGAGAACTTATTAGACGACACCGGTTAAGTCATTTACATCTCAATTGTATCTAGTGGTTAGCTTGCCAACTTCTTAACAAGTATAAAGTCAGTTTGTTGTTGAAGATTTCGAGGTAGTAAACACGCTTGAGTACAAAACAATAAATAAAGAGGATGTCTCTACAAACACCTCTTGCACGAGTGTCTCCACTTTCCCTTTCGACGACACCACCGCTACCTGGCATGTCCTTCGAAGTGGGACGTCGCCGACGAGGGCGAGACGTTCGGGCTGGTCCACCGGCTCCACGACCGGCTTGACCCGCCTCTCAGGCCTAGCCTCGATTTCCGCCACAGTACACTGGTCACACCGCCGGTGCACCACCTCTCACGTCAGGCTGTCTATAGGTCATTCTCGACAGTAAAGGCTAGACATCACCTTGTTTCGAAACATCGGTGGTCCTTTGTACCATGTTCAACTCTACTTCTTTGTGTCGAGGTGCACAGAGGACTACTGGGCCCGAGTCAAATTGACACATCATCTGCCTGTCCTTCGGTCACATTTCAAAACTTCACTACGTTAGGTGAAAGAATCACAATCACTCCTGAGTTCGTGGTAGCAAGAGATTGAATACTTGAGAGTCCAGAAGACGATGACCGGAACATTAGTACCGATTTCAATTTTGTTCCAGACATATGATGGACCCTTTCCTCCCCACCAATCATAACAGAAAAAATAAACTAGTTAAAACATAGTCGAAGTCACAAAGGGGATCCTACCTCAGTATCGTCGCCACGCTTCCGTGCACCCGGGTCGTGTTACACTCGCGCCTCGTGCACCTTAAAAAATCACACGTGCACGCTTCACGCAGGGGCGGTTAAAACAAAGATACAACAGATGTGTTCTTTCGAACTCCGGATCATTGGTCCGGCCAGATCGGTTAACGACGGGAATCACTCTAAAATCCGGGCTGTAACAATATACGATTTCTTATTTAACTTTTTAGAGATGATTTCTGTTAATGTGACATTTTTGTCTTTGAAATCTTGGGAGGTCTCTTTTTCGTAAAGACGCTTAGCGTCTTAATGGCGTATTAGTACGTTTTACCGGGTCTAAAATTTTCCGGCGGTATAAATAGTTTCCGGCGTATTAGGGGCGTAAAAAGGTGTGTTTCAGCTCTTCTTTTTTTTCACTTGAGCAAGAACTGCACTGCCAGGTAGTCGAGCGCGTAGTGTCTTACATTTGTTGGATGATAATCTACTGCACACCTCGAGTGTGCTATCTCTTTTGTGGTTCTTCTTTTTTAGATTAGGTAGAGCAAATGGCTGCTTGTAAGGTGATTTCTGGCCCCGTTTTTCACCCCCCTTTGATAAGACGTGGGCACGTTGACACCCAACCTCGTATCTCTTGTAAAGTGCACCGCTGGGTGATCTAAGTAGTTTTGTAAGTTTTACGGAAAGACACGACGCCTTTTCTTTCGGTTTAGTTGAGTGCAAGTGGCTCGCGTGTTTGGAGGTTTTTTGGAAAGCTCGCGAATGTCTTTGCTTCACTCATCGGATGTTCTACTCGACCGATTTACCTTTTGTCTTACTCCGCACCACCCACACACACCACACACACCACACACACACACACACACAACACACAACACACACACACACACACACACACACACACACACACACACACACACACACACCAACACAACACACACCACAACAACACACCACACACACACACACACACACGACACACAAATTTTTATTCGGGTTAACGAAAATGTTTATTTATCTTGTACTACACAAATTAACTTATATTTCCCCAAATTGCAATCACCGTCCAACACACACTCTCTCTTTTATTCTGTCGGGTTATAAATTTTTTTTGTAAATAATAAAAAGACTATAAATCGTATAAAGCGTTGAAAGGCGTATAACAAGCTTTGAAGGCGTTAAAAGTTGGCGTATTTTTAGTGTACTTTTGGGGCGTAATTAGTGTATTAGTTCGCTAAAATCGGGCGTATTAGTATCCATTAAAATCCGGCGTTTAGGTTCCTAAAAAAACGGGCGCAAAAGACCTAACGCCAGTTTGAACAAACTAGCATCCGATTGTCTGCAGTTATTACCGAGTTTACATAAGTCATACACATACTTGTCAAACTTTAAACCCCTACTGCAGTGTAGGAGCCATCCCCACCAAGCCCCGGTTACAGAGTTCTAAAATCCGGTTTTTTATGTGGAAATTAAACTAGTATGTCATTAGTGTTTACTGAATGTTTAAGGTGCTATTCGTTTGTTAGTTTTTACTTTCTCTCAGCGGTTCGAATAATAATAAAGGTCAGGTAGCGTAGGTAGACCAGAGGGCGAAATAGGCCACAGCCCCGCTGCCTCCGATCGTCAAGGTCGTCTCTCGGGGTTTGAAAGAAAAGGGACTCGGTGTAGTTGGTCGAGACTGACCCCTTAGGTTCCGCGAGGGTCGTGTCGCATTCATGTACATTCAAGGGAAGGTAGAACCAAAGATGACAGATGGGGACCAGAAGAGGGTCGACCTACAGGACCCTTGTGGAGGGGCATCCCTCCGGCCGGGTCCACCGTGGATTGATCCACGGGCTGGTGGAGTTGACGAGGAAAAGCTGCGGCTCCTTCCTTCGCCGAGTTGAGGCTCGAAGGCGAGGGACTACTCGGCTTGAAGAGTGGAATAGGGATTCTCTCGTGGTCCGTGGACGCCCTCTTTTTGGGTAGGAAGCCCCGGGCGAACGATGGGCGACTAGAGCAAGAAAAGACAGTACATTGGGTAGGAAGTACGCTGTCATCCGGCTCCCATCGCTTGCTTATTACCGCGCCGATCGTGTAAACTCTCGACAACGGAAGAACCGAGTCGGAGGCGAAAAGCAAGTGTGTGCGCAGCCAATTTCTCTGACGGTTGATAGGCGGAGGGCGACGAGGCTAAGAGGGTTGGTAGAGTTGCCGAGGTAACAAGAGTGAGCTCTTGTTCTGGGGCGTCGTATGACTTGAGGAAGTGAACGCATTCGCTGAGTAAGGGATGAACCTCACTGTCAGGTTATACCCCACCCCAGCCGAAAGGACGATAATAAAATTCTTTTCCTTTTTTTTCATTATGTATAAAAAAGCATGCGACCGAGCCCCGGATGTCGCGCGAGTCATAACAGTCGGTCGCCGCGACGGGCGGCGGTGATAAACATATATCCACTTTTGTGACTCGAAAATGAGTTACCGAAAAATCACGTGAAACAGACTGAAAAATTATTTTTAACGCGTTATCATTTGTTTCAAAGTAGCCTAGTCTATAATGTTATTATTGAGCGAGACGACACGAGAGAGAACACAAAGCAAAGAAAATCTCGAGAGTGTTTGCCGGTCGATGGTGTCTTCTTCTTCTCCTCCTGCCCCCCCACAACCCGTCCCGGGGTCCACGACGGAGACATACAGTCCAAACACTCTCGGTCGTAACGTCTCGAAGTAGGTTGTACGAGGTGCGAGGGTGCACCAGGCGGTGTGAAGATGTGCACGACAGGTCCGACAGAGCTGGGACGGGCGTGACTCTGGGAGGTCATGCTTGTGTGTGTGTGCGTAGTGTAACGTCAATTAACGGCAAAAAACGATTTACAAAACTAAAATCCCTACGGTGGCTTAAGCCGTGGCTTTAATAGCCGGCTTTTACCGATTTTTCCGGGAAGCCGAAAGTGGCTTACAGTCTCTTGTCCAATGCAACTAGGCTATGAGGCGGGTATAAAAGCCCACACACACAAGCCATGGCTGCCACCAGAGTCACGCGGTCCCGAGCTCTGTTCGGACTGTCGGTGCACATCTTCACGGACGCGGCTGGTGACACCTCGGGCACGCTGTACAACGGCTAATTGAACGTTACGACGCGAGAGCTGTTTGGACCGTGTATTTCTGTCGTGGACCCGGAAGTTGTGGGGGGGGAGGAGGAGAAAAAGAAGACGACGCGATCGACCGGCCAAACACCACTCTCGAGATTTTCTTGCCTTTGTTCTTTCTCTGTGTGTTCTCGCTCGATAATAAATTAAACTACGGCTACTTTTGAACACACAGCTACTATAACGGTGAACAAATATCTTTCGACATCTGTTTCACGTCGGATCCTTTTGGTTCAACTATTTTCGGAGTCGAAAAGGGGCCATCATCCATGTTTATCACCGCGCGTCCCGCGGCGACGACTTTATACTCGCGGCGACGATCGCCCGCGGTCGGTCCATGGTTTTTTTTATATATATAACAAAAAAGAAAACAAATTTTACTTGATCGTCCTTTGGCTACCCTGACAGGTGAGGTTCATCCGGCTTACCGTCGAAGGACATGGGTTCGACTTCCTCAAGTGTCAGCATAGAGCCCCAGAACAAGAGCTCACCTCCGCTTGTTACCCTCGGCACTCTACCCACCTCTTAGCCTCGTCGCCTCCGCGAATGACGGTCAGAGAATTGCGTGGCACACACTCGCTTTTCTCGACGTCGGTCTTCCGGTTTCGAGAGACCAGAAATAAGGCGACGGTAAAAGCAAGGCCATGGGCCAAGTGGATACCACTACTCCTCTACGCAGCCTACGTGGCTTGTCTTGCTCTAGCGGCCCATGTTCAGGCGGCTCTACCCAAAGAGGCGGTCCACCGACCCAGCACAGAAGGGAATCGCCTACTCTCGCACTCCTTCAAGACCAGTAGTCCGCTCGCTGAGCCTCGAACTCGCGACGGAGGAAAGCGGCAGCTTGTGCCGTCGGTCCAACTCCCACGGCAAGCCCCCGGTGGATCCATCCTACGGACTGGACGCCCGGGAGGGATCCTCCACGAAGGTCCGTGTAGGTCGACCGGCTTCCTCTGTTCGCCCCACTACTGGATTTGGTCCATCCTCGCCGTAATATACGAGAAGCGACAGGACTCCCTCGCGGAAACCCTAGGGGGTCAGTCTCGCCAACTACACCGGTGCCCTTTTCTTTCAAACCCCGAGAGACGACCTTGACGATGGAGGCGCTGGGCTGGTGGCCTATTCGCCCTCTTCGTACCTTACCTACCTACGCTTTTATTATTATTCACCGGCTGGGAGAAGTAAAAACTAACAACACAATACACCTAAACATCATAAACACAAATGACATACAAGTTATTTCCACGATTAAAACGATTTTAGAACTCTGTAACGGGGCCTGGGGGATCTCCTACACTGCAGGTAGGGAGTTAAGTTTGTACAAGTATGTTATGACTTTATTGTAAACTTCGGTAAAACTGCAGACCAATGGATGCAGTTGTTCAAACCTGGGAGGTCTTTTTGCGCCCGTTTTTAGCGAACTAATACGCCGGATTTAAGGAACTAATTACGCCCGATTTTAGGAACTAATACACTAATTTGTACGCCTCGCAAAAGTACACTAAAATACGCCACTTTAACGCCCCTTCAAAGAACTTTATACGGCTTTCAACGTTTATACGCATTTATAGTCCCTTTTAGTTATTTTACAAAAAAATTTATAACCGACAGAACTAAATAGAGAGAGTGTGTGTTGGAGCCCGGTGATTGCAATTTGGGGAAATGATAAGTTAATTTCTGTGTAAGTTACCAAATAAATAACATTTTCGTTAACCCCCGATAATTTATGTGTGTGTGTGTGTGTGTGTGTGTGTGTGTGTGGTGTGTGTGTGTGTGTGTTGTGTGTGTGTGTGTGGTGTGTGTGTGTGTGTGTGTGTGTGTGTGTGTGTGTGTGTGTGTGTGTGTGTGTGTGTGTGTGTGTGTGTGTGTGTGTGTGTGTGTGTGTGTGTGTGTGGTGGGCGAGTAAGACAAAAGGTAATGGTCGAAGTTAGAACATCGATGTAGTGAAGCAAAGAACATCGGGAGCCTTTCCCAAAACCTCCAACTACGGAGCCACTTGCACTCAACAAACCGAAAGAAAGGCGTCGTCGTCTTTCGTAAAAGCTTACAAACTTACTTAGATTCACCCAGCAGTGCAACTACAAGAGATACGAGGTGGTGTGTCAAACGTGCCCCATCGTCTTATCAAAGGGGGGTGAAAAAACGGGCCAGAAATCACCTTTACAAGCAGCCATTTACTCTACCTAATCTAAAAAAGAAGAACACAAAGAGGTAGCACACTCGAGGTGTGCAAGTGCAGAAATCACAACAAATGTAAGACACTACGCGCTCGACCTACTGCAGTGCAGTTCTGCTCAAAGTGAAAAAAAAGAAGAGTGAAAACACACCTTTTTACGCCCCTATATACGCCGGAAAACTATTTATACGCCGGAAAATTTTTTAGACCCGGTAAAACTGACTTAATACGCCATTTAAGACCGCTGCGTCTTGCGAAAAGAGACCTCCAGATTATTCAAAGACAAAAATGTCACATAAACAGAAATCATCTCTAAAAAGTAAATAAGAATGTATATTTTACAGCGGATTTTAGAGTGAGATCCCCGTCGTTTAACCGATCTTGGCCGGGACCATGATCCGGAGTTCTCGGACAAGACACACATCTGTGTATCTTTGTTTAACCGCCACACCGCGTGGAGCGATGCACGTGTGTGA